GTGAAGTGGTCTTAATTTTCCTGGGGACTGATGAAAGAGCAGCATGAAAAATGGGAGACAAATTATTTAGAGGAAAAATCCTGTTGATGCTACTGAGTGGAAGGATTTTTTTCTCCTGTTGCTGCTGGCAGAGAAATTAACCTTCCTGTGTGTTGCAGTTTCAGAAACAATTGGGAGGGGGTGCTCTATCTACAATATAGTTAAATATGAACCACAGAAGTAGCTGTATGTTCTCATGGATTATTGTTCTTCTCCGGTGATTAATTGAAATATTTGTAAGGTCAGGATAGGGTAATGTTTCCTTTCAAAGTCCACACTTCCTCATGAATAATGTTTTGTGCTTGCCATGCCTATTGGATCCAAGGCAACAGGAAGCAGATCTGGGTCAGATTTGGAAGTAAGCAAACACACACACACACACACACACACACACACACACCCCTACTTTCTCTCTCTTCCTTTCCTCTCACTCTTCCATCTTACCAGTAGGTTCTTAGGGAAGGGATGGTGCATTCTTGTCTGAAGTCTAAACTAATTTTTGCAATGAACTTTTGAAATTAGATGGCTAACTGCATAAAATTAGGTTACATCCATAGGACCTCCTGTAAGGTGTGATTGATACCAATCATATAGGTGTCTAAAATAAAATTTCAGTTCTTTCATGATTCAGAAACCTATTTTTTAACAAAATGACCACAGTTCTCTATTGGGTTGTGCAAAACATGTTGTCTTGAAACAGCTGAACTGTAAAATTTCATGAAATTACTGTTTCAAGCACAAAATGAGCTATTTTGACATTTTGGAAGCATTCTGAGCTTGACACAGTGGTTCAAGCTCGGAAGAGCTTATTTCCAGGCTTGAATCATTTCCGAAATGCTTCAAAACTGTCCATTTCATACTCAAAACAGGACATTTCATGAAATTTCACTCTTAAAATGTTTCAGAATGACATGTTTTGTACTCTCTTAGTTCTCTGTGTACTAGGAAGAATCATATATACATGGACGAGTGAAAAAGCAACTTTCAGTGAGCACTAGCTGCCTCATAAATGCTGTAGTTTGGCTAAATAAGGCAGCCTTTTAAAGCTGGTGAAATATTGAAGTAATGGATCCTTTGATCTCTTTTTCTTTTCTCTCCCTTTCTCCCTGGCTACTATTCCTGTGAAATGTACAGGTGTTTGCAGATGCACATCAACTAAGATCTCTTCAGCTCTATCAGACACCCTTGAGCATCAGCACTGTACCCCATCAAGCCCTTAGCCGTACCCAGTCTTCACCTGCCAGCACTAGTCTGAAGAACAGTACAACTGAGCCTTTGGTCCGCCACCTTTTCACTACAGGTAGGTGAAGGACTTCTTTCTTGAAGCTTGGAAGACAGGGAGATCTTTGTCCAACTGGGCATGTAGATGCTGCTCAGATGCTACATCTACCTTGAAAATTTCTTTCTCAAATATGCAAAGGAAAGACATTCTGTATATGTCCTCTGTTATGACCTCCAATCCCTAGTATTCAGGAGCTAAAGATTGTCTCTGCTTTATTCCTTCCTTTAGGGCACAACAGGATTATATCCTGAATCTCAGTCAGCTTGCTGCATTGAGAGAGGAATGCCAATTTGGTAGATTTAATTGGATTTATTTTATTATTGATTTATTTTCAGCCTTTCTACTTGAGAGGATTCAAGGCATCTGACAATCACAAAGTTTTAAAACTTAAATAAATAAAATAAATTTAAAAAATCAATCAGTATCAAAAGCCTGGAGAAAGAAATACCTCTTAACAAATTTTCTTAATGTTGCAAGAATCGGGGCCAAATGTAACTCATAGGGGAGTACATTCCAAGGCTGGGAACAATGCAAGAAAGGGATCTCCATGGTCCCTTCCAACCCTGTGATTCTATTATTCTATGCAATGCTTCCTCCCATGCCAGATATACAAACTTCTGATAAGGGAAGCTTCTGCAGATCTTAATGGCTGGACAGGTTCATAACAGGAGGGGCAGTCCCTCAGATAATCAGGCCTTAAGCCTTTTAGAATTTTAAAAGTTAATAATAGCACCTTCAATAAAGGCCAGTGAACAGCTGGCAACGATTGCAGATCATATGATTCCTTACTTTGTCCTGGTTAGCACGATTTTAGATACTTTTTGTGTATGCATTATTTTTTTCAACTTTTTCAACTTTAGGGGCTTTTGCAGTCTGTTGGGAGAGCCAGTTTGGTGTAGCGGTTAAGGCGCCAGGCTAGAACCCGGGAGACCATGAGTTCTAGTCCTGCCTTAGGCACAAAGCCAGCTGGGTGACCTTGAGCCAGCCAGTCTCTCTCAGCCC